TCATCCGCCTACCTTATCCCCTGCATCAGGTTTCGTCTCCTCTTCAGATTTCGGGACGGGCTTGTTCACCTGAAAAAAAAACAAAAAACACCAAAAAGTTAAACTGTTGGCGAGTCTCCCCGCAGTACAGGAGCCCCTAGAGGGCTAGTGGTGGTATAATGGTGTCTGTATGCTGATGGAGAGTATTTCCGGGTCACAACCGACCTGACCTCTGAAACCGCAATGGTGGCAATGGCCTACAGGAGCCCAAAGGTGCATGAGCCATTCAGGTCAGTAAACACCAAACCCAGACCGGCGCACAAGGACCTGACCTCTGAAACCACTATGGTGGCAATGGCCTACCGGAACCCAAAGGTGCATTGGCCATTCAGGTCAGCGCAACACCAAACCAGCATATAAGGACCTGACCTCTGAAACCACACTGGTGGAAATGGCCTACCAGAACCCAAAGGTGCATGGGCCATTCAGGTCAGTGCAACACCAAACCCAGACCAGCGCACAAGGACCTGACCTCTGAAACCACTATGGGGGCAATGGCCTACCGGAACCCAAAGGTGCATGGGCCATTCAGGTCAGTGCAACACCAAACCCAGACCAGCGCACAAGGACCTGACCTCTGAAACCACTATGGGGGCAATGGCCTACCGGAACCCAAAGGTGCATGGGCCATTCAGGTCAGTGCAACACCAAACCCAGACCAGCGCACAAGGACCTGACCTCTGAAACCACTATGGGGGCAATGGCCTACCGGAACCCAAAGGTGCATGGGCCATTCAGGTCAGTGCAACACCAAACCCACACACATAGGCACATAAGGACCTGACCTCTGAAACCACTATGGGGGCAATGGCCTACCGGAACCCAAAGGTGCATGGGCCATTCAGGTCATTGCAACACCAAACCCACACACATAGGCACATAAGGACCTGACCTCTGAAACCACTATGGGGGCAATGGCCTAGTAATGGCCTACCAGAACACAAAGGTGCATGGGCCATTCAGGTCAGTGCAACACCAAACCCAGACTAGCACATAAGGACCTGACCTCTGAAACCACTATGGGGGCAATGGCCTACCGGAACCCAAAGGTGCATGGGCCATTCAGGTCAGTGCAACACCAAACCCAGACCGGCACATAAGGACGTGTGTCATTAAATAACAAAATAATAATAACAACAATAATAATAAAACATTGTTATTATTATTAATAATAATAACAACAGTAGTAACATAAAATAAGCAAAAACAAGAAACATTACCTCCAGAAACACATGAAAAAAACAATTCTGTTCTTCTTTAATAATAACGGAGCCCAACAGCTGTTCTAGGATCCGGGCTCAGACACAGTACCCGGCCCGTGTGGCAGCACCGATGGGTGTTTCAGTGTTTCTCTAACCCATAAATAAACACATCTGGTACGCCGGTGAGAAGACATTTTCGGCCTTATCACACCTCCGAGAAGTTGGCACGTTACACCGTTATCTCTTTATTTTATGTGTATGGTGCACACAGCGTGTTCCGGCTTTGTGGCAATTCCCAAAGCTCCGCACACACCAACAAAGTCATTGATCGATCCGATTAATCACGGAGCCATCAAATACAGCGGGATGGGCGAGCTGACGGAACCTCAGGAGTTGTACATTTCGATGCCGTTGCCTTTATACTGAACTATATCTGCTGCGTACAACTTGGATCGCTGCCCATTAGGCGCCAGCTCGTGACATCTCACATTTAGTTTTTTTGTTTTTGCTGCTCGCAAACATGCTGCTGGCTGGCAGGTGGCTAAGCCGTGAATTGAAGGCTTGGAGGTCCAGCTATGTATTGGGGGGGGGTCGACAAAACTTTTAGGGGGCTTCTAACATTTTACCTTTTCTATTTGTTTGGGTTTTTTTGGGCTTCTTTCTCAGTTTCCAAAATAGTGGAAATAAAAAAAAGAAGATTTTGCTTTGTTGCCTTATAAGGCAATGGAAACATTTTGGAGTTTTTTTTGGTCAGTTTTTCAGAACTATAAAAAAATTTTTTTTTAATACTGTATTTTTTTTAATACTGTAACACAACATTACAACTTTCTGCTTGTTATAAATTGTCCACAATGGTGAGCCGGAAATTGGGCATTTCTGGCAGCATTTAGTCTGCAAGAGTCGAAGGTGAGCTGCAGCCTCTGCAGCTCACCTTCACCAAAGTCTAGCTTTTCCAGAGTTCTCAAGGGCCAAGGGTAAGGACAGCCTTAGAGTGCAAGCTTTGAAGGCTAGCTATGACCGGGTGGGGTAAGGACAGCCTTAGAGTGCAAGCTTTGTAGGCTAGCTATGGCACCATAGGGTAAGGTCAGCCTTAGAGTGCAAGCTTTGTAGGCTAGCTATGACCACATAGTGTAAGGTCAGCCTTAGAGTGCAAGACTTGTAGGCTAGCTATGACCACATAGGGTAAGGTCAGCCTTGGAGTGCAAGCTTTGAAGGCTAGCTATGACCGGGTGGGGTAAGGACAGCCTTAGAGTGCAAGCTTTGTAGGCTAGCTATGACCACATAGTGTAAGGTCAGTCTTAGAGTGCAAGACTTGTAGGCTAGCTATGACCACATAGGGTAAGGTCAGTCTTAGAGTGCAAGCTTTGTAGGCTAGCTATGAACGGGTGGGGTAAGGTCAGCCTTAGAGTGCAAGACTTGTAGGCTAGCTATGACTACGTATGGTAAGGTCAGCCTTAGATTGCAAGCTATAAAGGTTACCTATGACCGGGTAGGGTGAGGTTAGCCTCAGATTGCAAGATTTGTAGGTTTGCTATGATCATGTAGGGTAAGGATAGCCTTGGATTGCGAGCTCTGTAGACTAGCTAAGACCAGGTGGGGTACAGTTAGACTTTTCTAAATAAGTGCAGCCAGCAAAATAACAAAGAACATTTGGCTATCGTTAGTTTGCAAACCATGAAGGCTAGCCAAGACCACATAGGATAAGATCAGCCTTAGATTGCAAGCTATAAAGGCTAGCTATGACCAGGTATTGTACAGTTAGCTGTTGACTGCAAGCTCTGTGGGCTTGCTATGACCATGTAGGGCACAGTGAGCCTTTGACTGCAAGCTCTGTGGGCTAACTACGACCATGTAGGCTACAGTAAGCCGTAGACTGCAAGCTTTGTGGGCTAGCTTTGACCATGTAGGGTACAGTTAGCCTTTGACTGCAAGCTTCGTGGGCTAGCTATGACCACATAGGGTAAGGTCAGCCTTAGAGTGCAAGCTTTGAAGGCTAGCTATGACCGGGTGGGGTAAGGTCAGCCTTAGAGTGCCACTTTGAAGGCTAGCTATGGCCACATAGGGTAAGGTCAGTCTTAGAGTGCAAGCTTTATAGGCTAGCTATGGCCACATAGGGTAAGGTCAGCCTTGGATTGCAAGCTTTGAAGGCTAGCTATGACCACATAGGGTAAGGACAGCCTTAGAGTGCAAGCTTTGTAGGCTAGCTATGACCACATAGGGTAAGGTCAGCCTTGGATTGCAAGCTTTGAAGGCTAGCTATGACCACATAGGGTAAGGTCAGCCTTAGAGTGCAAGCTTTGTAGGCTAGCTATGACCACATAGTGTAAGGTCAGCCTTAGAGTGCAAGACTTGTAGGCTAGCTATGACCACATAGGGTAAGGTCAGTCTTAGAGTGCAAGACTTGTAGGCTAGCTATGACCACATAGGGTAAGGTCAGTCTTAGAGTGCAAGCTTTGTAGGCTAGCTCTGGCCTCATAGGGTAAGGTCAGCCTTAGAGTGCAAGACTTGTAGGCTAGCTATGACAACGTATGGTAAGGTCAGCCTTAGATTGCAAGCTATAAAGGTTACCTATGACCGGGTAGGGTGAGGTTAGCCTCAGATTGCAAGATTTGTAGGTTTGCTATGATCATGTAGGGTAAGGATAGCCTTGAATTGCAAGCTCTGTAGACTAGCTAAGACCAGGTGGGGTACAGTTAGACTTTTCTAAATAAGTGCAGCCAGCAAAATAACAAAGAACATTTGGCTATCGTTAGTTTGCAAACCATGAAGGCTAGCCAAGACCACATAGGATAAGATCAGCCTTAGATTGCAAGCTATAAAGGCTAGCTATGACCAGGTATTGTACAGTTAGACTTTGACTGCAAGCTTTGTGGGCTTGCTATGACCATGTAGGCTACAGTAAGCCCAGTAAGCCGTAGACTGCAAGCTTTGTGGGCTAGCTTTGACCATGTAGGGTACAGTTAGCCTTTGACTGCAAGCTTCGTGGGCTAGCTATGCCCATGTAGGGTACAGTTAGCTTTTGACTGCAAGCTCTGTGGGCTAGATATGACCAGGCAGGGTACAGTTAGCCTTTGACTGCAAGCTTCGTGGGCTAGCAATGCCCATGTAGGGTACAGTAAGCCGTAGACTGCAAGCTTTGTGGGCTAGCTTTGACCATGTAGGGTACAGTTAGCCGTAGACTGCAAGCTTTGTGGGCTAGCTACGACCATGTAGGGTACAGTTAGCCTTTGACTGCAAGCTTTGTGGGCTAGCTATGACCATGTAGGGTACAGTTAGCCTTTGGCTGCAAGCTTTCTGGGCTAGCTATGACCATGTAGGGCACAGTTAGCTGTTGACTGCAAGCTTTCTGGGCTAGCTATGACCATGTAGGGTACAGTTAGCCTTTGACTGCAAGCTCTGTGGGCTGGCTATGACAATGTAGGGTACAGTTAGCTGTTGAGTGCAAGCTTTGTGGGCTAGCTATGACCAGGTAGGGTACAGTTAGCCTTTGACTGCAAGCTTTGTGGGCTAGCTATGACCAGGCAGGGCGCAGTTAGCCTTTGACTGCAAGCTTTGTGGGCTAGCTATGACCATGTAGGGTACAGTTAGCTGTTGACTGCAAGCTTTGTGGGCTAGCTATGACCATGTAGGGTACAGTTAGCCGTAGACTGCAAGCTCTGTGGGCTAGCTATGCCGATGTAGGGTACAGTTAGCCGTAGACTGCAAGCTCTGTGGGCTAGCTATGCCGATGTAGGGTACAGTTAGCCGTAGACTGCAAGCTCTGTGGGCTAGCTATGCCCATGTAGGGTACAGTTAGCCGTAGACTGCAAGCTCTGTGGGCTAGCCAGGCACGGTCACCGAATACAAGGCAGCGGTTGCAATTCTTTACCTAGGGTCCTGCAAAAAAAGTTGTTGCACAGAAAGGAAATCACACGTCTGGGTTTGCGGACTCACCAAGGTTTTGAAGAAGCTCATGACTGGATGGACCTCCGGCTGTGGGCTAGTTTGGGTGGCTTCTGCGCTGGTCTCCGGGCCAACTGGCACGCTTGCAGTCTCCGATCTCTGCCCGTCCGCAGCTGCTCGATTGCCTTTGTCTACGTTCTGAAGGACAGAGGAAAAAAGATCCTGTTTATTTAGCTGGCTGCAGCGCGAGCGCTCTGCCTCATTCCTCTCTCACAATCCTAATTCTTGTCATTCTCCAGCCCACACCGACCGAACAATCGCCCATTGACGGCCCATTGTTATCCGGACTCGCTGTGTCCCTGCACTAATAGATGGACACTTTGCAAGTGCTCAAGAGTCACATTTTGTGCTCCGCCGCAGAGGGAGAGAGAGAGCTCCAAAAAACAAACCCCCCTTTCTTCCCCTCGGTTGTGAGATGGGACACGTGTGATTGGGTCAGCCTCTGTCAATGGCCGATTATCTGCACTCAATGCCATCTTCTTCTCCAAAGCCTTGCACACACATCACTGGCAGGAGCAAGGACCGCAGCAGGGAACGCAGGAGGGAGCGAGCTGCAGCTGGTGGGGAACTACAAGTCCCAGAGTGCCCTCACCCCTGGGGATTGTAGTCCCTCCTTGCCACCTTGGCCTAAAAATATTTAGTGTCGCAGAGTACAAGCATGGCACATCACAGCAGAGCAGAGTATATCAGGAGAGGAGAGTTATATAGAAGGAGCAGAGTCATACAGCAGTGCAGAGTATTTCTGGAGAGGAGAGTTATAGAGGAAGGAGCAGAGTCCTCCAGCAGAGCAGAGTATTTCAGGAGAGGAGAGTTATAGAGGAAGGAGCAGAGTCCTCCAGCAGAGCAGAGTATTTCAGGAGAGGAGAGTTATAGAGGAAGGAGCAGAGTCCTCCAGCAGAGCAGAGTATTTCAGGAGAGGAGAGTTATAGAGGAAGGAGCAGAGTCCTCCAGCAGAGCAGAGTATTTCAGGAGAGGAGAGTTATAGAGGAAGGAGCAGAGTCCTCCAGCAGAGCAGAGTATTTCAGGAGAGGAGAGTTATAGAGGAAGGAGCAGAGTCCTCCAGCAGAGCAGAGTATTTCAGGAGAGGAGAGTTATAGAGGAAGGAGCAGAGTCCTCCAGCAGAGCAGAGTATTTCAGGAGAGGAGAGTTATAGAGGAAGGAGCAGAGTCCTCCAGCAGAGCAGAGTATTTCAGGAGAGGAGAGTTATAGAGGAAGGAGCAGAGTCCTCCAGCAGAGCAGAGTATTTCAGGAGAGGAGAGTTATAGAGGAAGGAGCAGAGTCCTCCAGCAGAGCAGAGTATTTCAGGAGAGGAGAGTTATAGAGGAAGGAGCAGAGTCCTCCAGCAGAGCAGAGTATTTCAGGAGAGGAGAGTTATAGAGGAAGGAGCAGAGTCCTCCAGCAGAGCAGAGTATTTCAGGAGAGGAGAGTTATAGAGGAAGGAGCAGAGTCCTCCAGCAGAGCAGAGTATTTCAGGAGAGGAGAGTTATAGAGGAAGGAGCAGAGTCCTCCAGCAGAGCAGAGTATTTCAGGAGAGGAGAGTTATAGAGGAAGGAGCAGAGTCCTCCAGCAGAGCAGAGTATTTCAGGAGAGGAGAGTTATAGAGGAAGGAGCAGAGTCCTCCAGCAGAGCAGAATATTTCAGGAGAGGAAAGTTATATAGAGGAAGGTGCAGAGTCCTCCAGCAGAGCAGAGTATTTCAGGAGAGGAGAGTTATAGAGGAAGGAGCAGAGTCCTCCAGCAGAGCAGAGTATTTCAGGAGAGGAGAGTTATAGAGGAAGGAGCAGAGTCCTCCAGCAGAGCAGAGTATTTCAGGAGAGGAGAGTTATAGAGGAAGGAGCAGAGTCCTCCAGCAGAGCAGAGTATTTCAGGAGAGGAGAGTTATAGAGGAAGGAGCAGAGTCCTCCAGCAGAGCAGAGTATTTCAGGAGAGGAGAGTTATAGAGGAAGGAGCAGAGTCCTCCAGCAGAGCAGAGTATTTCAGGAGAGGAGAGTTATAGAGGAAGGAGCAGAGTCCTCCAGCAGAGCAGAGTATTTCAGGAGAGGAGAGTTATAGAGGAAGGAGCAGAGTCCTCCAGCAGAGCAGAGTATTTCAGGAGAGGAGAGTTATAGAGGAAGGAGCAGAGTCCTCCAGCAGAGCAGAGTATTTCAGGAGAGGAGAGTTATAGAGGAAGGAGCAGAGTCCTCCAGCAGAGCAGAGTATTTCAGGAGAGGAGAGTTATAGAGGAAGGAGCAGAGTCCTCCAGCAGAGCAGAGTATTTCAGGAGAGGAGAGTTATAGAGGAAGGAGCAGAGTCCTCCAGCAGAGCAGAGTATTTCAGGAGAGGAGAGTTATAGAGGAAGGAGCAGAGTCCTCCAGCAGAGCAGAGTATTTCAGGAGAGGAGAGTTATAGAGGAAGGAGCAGAGTCCTCCAGCAGAGCAGAGTATTTCAGGAGAGGAGAGTTATAGAGGAAGGAGCAGAGTCCTCCAGCAGAGCAGAGTATTTCAGGAGAGGAGAGTTATAGAGGAAGGAGCAGAGTCCTCCAGCAGAGCAGAGTATTTCAGGAGAGGAGAGTTATAGAGGAAGGAGCAGAGTCCTCCAGCAGAGCAGAGTATTTCAGGAGAGGAGAGTTATAGAGGAAGGAGCAGAGTCCTCCAGCAGAGCAGAGTATTTCAGGAGAGGAGAGTTATAGAGGAAGGAGCAGAGTCCTCCAGCAGAGCAGAGTATTTCAGGAGAGGAGAGTTATAGAGGAAGGAGCAGAGTCCTCCAGCAGAGCAGAGTATTTCAGGAGAGGAGAGTTATAGAGGAAGGAGCAGAGTCCTCCAGCAGAGCAGAGTATTTCAGGAGAGGAGAGTTATAGAGGAAGGAGCAGAGTCCTCCAGCAGAGCAGAGTATTTCAGGAGAGGAGAGTTATAGAGGAAGGAGCAGAGTCCTCCAGCAGAGCAGAGTATTTCAGGAGAGGAGAGTTATAGAGGAAGGAGCAGAGTCCTCCAGCAGAGCAGAGTATTTCAGGAGAGGAGAGTTATAGAGGAAGGAGCAGAGTCCTCCAGCAGAGCAGAGTATTTCAGGAGAGGAGAGTTATAGAGGAAGGAGCAGAGTCCTCCAGCAGAGCAGAGTATTTCAGGAGAAGACAGTAATGAGGATGTTATTGTCCCAGAACAAACACTATATACATGTATGTTCTTCTCGCACACAACATGTTTTCCATGGAAGTGTTCCCTGTGTTTTATGTCCCGGTCAGAGGAGGAATGCGCCAGATGCTGGATTTACGGGGAAGGGTCATAAAACTCCATTATCGCCATAAATTGAACAAACACGGACGTCTTCCTAATCTCCCATGAGCCTTCACCGGCCGCAGATTGTGAGACTGTGAACATTCGGATTACCCGGCTGTGTTCACATCATCACATGACACCCATTCCATCGTCTTCTACGTGACCCATCGCCTGTCCATAGGGGCCGCCATATTGTCCCCCCAAAAAATAAACCCTTAACGCACCACTCCACCCTCCTCAGATCAAGATGACAACACAGAACAATGCAACCATAGGACTCAACTGTAAATCCTTTGTCTTTTCTCTTACACTGGTTCTTGAATGGTCCAACATGGCCAGTAGTCCATTGGGTGGGCATGCTGCCAGAGCATTCACGCTGGCACATTATTCTGTCCCCATGTTGGACACAATGGACAACTCAAGAGTCCAATAAGGGAAGAATACTTATCACAAGCAGATCTTATATGTGATTTTGGTTACGGGTTAAGGTTGGGTGCAGTACCGGGACAACATCCCTTGGCACAAATGGTCAAAGTGCACCCCCCCATCCATGGGCTGCCAACTACGTCAGCATCATAGGTTGCAGGTTCTGCCCTTTTTGTGCCCCCCTCCTGCTGAAGCGCCCAAGGTGGTCACCTCTTAAGCCTAACCCTCAGCCCAGCCATGGCTGGGTGTATTAAATACCAACGGATGTACTCATTGCAGAACCCAACTCTGCCCCACCATGACTATGGCAAAAGCATGTGAGGTAGCCTCGCTTCTCCTGCTGCAATATCACTAACGGAACAGAGAAGTTCTAACCAATGGTGAGACACCATGTCTGGTGAGGGGTAAGGGCCCCGGGTGGATGAAGCTGGGATCAAATGGGTGCATTCCTATAGACTTCTATGGGAACACAAAAACCCCATCTACACAGGTCTTCAGTTTGGGACTAAGACAGGGATAGGCAACCTCAGCTGTGGTGAAGCTGTGGTAGGAGCCATGCCTTTGGCTGTCAGAGTCTTGCAATGCTTCATGGGATTTGTAGTTTCACCACAGCTGGAGGGCTGAGGTTGCTTACCCCTAACACTAGACATAGTGATAGCGCCCATATTGGCCACACAGATATTCTGATTGGACGGTGGCAGTTGGCCCAAGGTTGCCTATCCCTGGAACTAAGAAGTATCAATGGAAAATGAGTTCTTTATGGTTGAGTTGAACAGAAAGTTAAGGACGGTCCGGGAACATTATCAATGGGAGCGTAGCACGTGTGCCGCAATCAATCCGATCTGCCAGATAGGTCAGGAGATGAATTTTGATTGGCCGATGAACTTCGCTCTTGACCCTGGCTGTGATCGAGTTGCAGAATGCCCGCATACCAGCACAAGGAAAGCAACCATCCGCAGCACAATAGGCGGCACATGCAATACATACGTGACATTTCTGCATGTTAATGAGCCGAGGCCGATGTATAGTGGGACGGATTGTAAAACGGGGTCATTAATGCAGAGCGCCCATCACTGGGGCCCTTT